AGCTTGTAAAGCGTATCTATCTGTCTCGTTCTGCTTGCAGAATGAGAGTGCACTAGCTATCGTGCTATGCGGGCGTACCATCACCACATGGAGAAATTAAGGGAACGGAAGAACTATTGTTAACAGGACAATAGGTAATCAAGTCACGTGTGGTATTTTTTTCTAGTGGATTAACTCTGTTTAAACAAGTCTAAACAACATTTAATCCCCTTATAAAAATCCTATCCAGGAAGTGGGCCTGCGAGTGCACCAGCCCTTGACTGCCTGGAGAATACTTCTCTTTAAGGTCGGTGGCAACAATGGGAAAACTGTTTCCCGCCCACAAAACACCAAGTGTTGCCTCCAGACACCGACTCCTAATAAACCCTTTCTGCACTAAGGAGGGAAAAGGGAAGGGAGCCAAATCTTTTAACCCCAGATCAGAGCATGGGAGGGCGCGTCACCTATTTGCCGAATAATCCGAATGTAAGGCTATTTGCCGAATAATCCGAATGCCTGAGGGAAATCTATCTGCATCTAAAATATAGAAAATTGGGTTGGGCTACTAGACCTATACCTAGCAAATGGGAAATGACAAATGAGACGCATGCGTAATATGAAATTTGCCATTGAAGTAGATAAGTCGTCGGAGATATTGGGATCTCCGTCCCCCCATATATCACTGCTGGTGTAGACCCTGCCCCAGATGGTGCTATTTACCTAGTGGATATACTACTAGAGGGAGAGGAGGGTGAGGGGGATTACATGGAGAGGCGGGTGATGCCGGAAAAAGGTAAGCGGGTAAAGGATAGTGAGGGCAGAAAAACACTCTTCCTGTGAAGCCAGAGATAATCTGGTTCAAGCAGGTTCGTGATAAACAATCATGCCAAATTTCAGGCAAATAAAAACACTCACCCCGTTGAGAGCCAGGACCACCCTGGATCAAGCAGGTACATGAGCAACAACCAGCCAACCTTGTGGCGAATAACCATCACTCACACCACGAAAAGCCAGGAATAACCTGGCCCTAGTAGGTTTGTGAAAAATAAATGTGCCAAATTTTAGGCAAATAAAAACACTCACCCCGGTGAGAGCCAGGACCACCCTGGATCAAGCAGGTACATGAGCACATAGCAAGCCAGCATTGTGGCGAATAACCATCACTCACACCACGAAAAGCCAGGAATAACCTGGCCCAAGTAGGTTTGTGATAAAAAAATGTGCCAAATTTTAGGCAAATAAAAACACTCACCCCGGTGAGAGCCAGGACCACCCTGGATCAAGCAGGTACATGAGCACATAGCAAGCCAGCATTGTGGCGAATAACCATCACTCACACCACGGAAAGCCAGGAATAATCTGGCCCAAGTGGGTTTGTGATAAATAAATATGCCAAATTTTAGGCAAATATAAACACTTACCCCGTTGAGAGCCAGGACCACCCTGGGTCAAGCAGGTACATGAGCATATAACAAGCCAGCATTGTAGTGAAAAAACACTTCTGCCACGCCCAAGTGGGTTTGTGATAAATAAAATGCCAACTTTGTGGAAAAAATAAAACATTCATCCCTGATTACGAACCAGGACTAACCTAGCTTTTATTGAGTTGAATTCATTAACATGATCACGTTGTGGTAAATACAAACAGTCCCTCATCCAAAAATAGAACCAGGACTAACCTGATTCAAGGTTTGTAATCACTAACATGCCAGCATTATGGCAAATATAAATGATTTTCCCCACTGTAGTCAGGTGTCCCTAGTCAAAAACACGTTTTTCAATTGAAAGTGAAACATTTTCCTCGCTGTAGCCAAGTGTCCCTGGTCAAAAACACGTTTTCCCAATTGATAGTAAAAACATTCTCTCTTCTGAAGCCAGAACTACGTGGTCCAAAACAAGTTAGCAATTATAGTGAAAACATTCTCCCTGTTGAAGCCAGGACTAACCTGGTCAAAAACAGGTTTGCAATTTATAGTGAAAACATTCTCTCTGCTGAAGCCAAGACTCACCTGGTCCAAACAGGTTCGCAATTTAAAGAAAAAACATTCTCCCTGTTGAACCAAGGTTTAACCTGGTCCAAACAGGTTCGCAATTTTATAGCAAAACATTCTCCCTGCTGAAGCCAGGAATACCTGGTCCAAACAGATTTGCCCTGAATAGGAAAAAAAAATATCCTCCCGGCTGCAGCCAGGAACAACCTTATTCAACGCTTTTTCTATAAAACTGGGATGTTGCCTCATTGTAAAAAACTAATCTTAAGTCCGAACGATTTGTAAAAACTTGCTTAGATAATGAAAATCAGCTGGGCAGTGAAAAATGAAAGACAATGCCAATCAGCTACCCAGTACAAACGAAAGAGAGCAATTGCAAATATATTGCCTGTCAATGACAAAAAGATTGTAATTTTGGTCCAAAAACAGGTTTGCCATTAATAGTAAACATTCCCCCGCTGAAGCCAGGCCTGACCTGGTCCACAACCCAAATAATAGTAAAACATTCACCCCGCTGAAGCCAGGAATACCTGGTCCAAAAACAGGTTTGCAATGAAAAGGAAAAATATCCTCCCTGCTGAAAAAGGGGGGGAGGGTCCAGGTATTTTGGCGTGATTGTGCAATAAGCGTATTTTCGACGCATGAATTTGCGAAACAAAATCCAATCATGCGTAAATGCGCGGGTCGATATTGGAGCGAGACCTGTGAAACAGCACCACTCATGGCGCGACCGCGTGAAAATGATCCTGCAAGCGAATTCCAAAATGGAGCGCTTTCGTTTTTACATGCAGAAAGTCTTGATTTCCGGTACCAGACCAGGTAAATGTCTCAATTATTCCAATGCTCCGCCAACAACAAATAACTACTCTTTTAGACTGGTGTAACGATTTACACAACCTGCTTAGACAATGCAAATCAGCTACCCAATATAAATGAAAGAATGGAATTACAAATATAGTTCCTGAAGGTTGCCAATTTGGCCCTAGTATATACCATATTTGGTATCTGTGGCATATTTTGAAAGCGCATAGCATATAAAGCAGGATTTTTTTTTTTTGATTTATTTTCTAAATTTGGCATAATTTTGACATGTTTGGAATAATAAGGAATACCATGCCTTGCCACCTTACCAACAATCTTGGTAAAGAAAAACACATTGTCCTTCTTTACAAAAGGCCGGGATTGGAAATTTTTTTTTTTTTTTTTCATTTCTTTACACAGCTTGAATAATTATCTCCATGTGACAGTAATTGACGATACCCGATTTAACATTAAACACAGATCCCACAAAACCTCTACCATCCAACAAAAATGGATTGAAGGCAATGCTGACATGCCTGTCACTGATGAATGACCGTTTTCCTACTATTTGATAAATGTTTAACGCTATAAATAGAAGAACAGCACTTTTATGGTATTGAGTTTCAAGTGGGAACGACAAATGTCTCCTAAATAACCTTCACAGCTACACCTAGCGGGGCGTTTTTGTTTTGTTTTGTATTATTTAAACCATGCAATTTGGCCAGTTTCTAGATATGTAATTGGCAACTGGGATTACAATGACATAAAACACCCTATTAAATTAGTGTGTAAGTGAGCCACCACCCTTGCTTAGGCAAAGCAAAATGCAACCAACCTGACACTTTGCCACAAGAAAAAAAAATAACACGGCAATAAGCCAGTGCGATTTGTACAATATATTGCTAGCGAATAGCAAATTTTTAATGTGTCCATATAAAAGGACAGCCTATACCAGACTTGTCACGTAACATCAAAATAAAGGCTTGCGATTGGTCAGTATGCCTGCAACACAAAACTGCTCACATGAGAAGCTAACCTTGCAGCAGGGTAGATAAACAGAACGACCATAATAGCTGGGCGATGACATGAAAAATCACATGCTTCCGAAAAACCCCCGCAGAGTTGCTTGCTTGGACACATTACCTTAATGTGATTACCATGACAATTGTTGTCAATAGCACATAAAGAAAAACAAAAACAATTTATCCAACAAGCATGTGTAATAAGAGGGCAGAAAAAAAAGGCATGACACTTTAAGATCCACTTAGGCAACGATGCATCTTAAATTCTGTTTTAATAGCCAAATCATTTAATTCCATTAGTGTATGGAGGCAATGACTGTACTTTCGCAGGCAAAGCAAAAAATGAAACCAAAATGACACTTGAAAAAATCTGCTAAGGTAGTGCGAAGGCAACTACAAAGACTTTTTTCATTGGCGCTAAACCCAAAACAAATTCTTCGGTTATCAGTGTATACAGACCGTAACAATCATTGCTTAGGCAAAGCCAAAGGTGTTACAGATATGATACTGTTGAACAAATGAAAACGCGACAAATGAAAATGACTGTAGGTACCAAGACACCTCTTGTAAAAGAAAACAAATCAATCAAATAAATGTGATCCGAAAGTAGCAATGAGCAAGATTCAGGTAACGATTACCCCTTAAAAATGACGTTTGTGAAAATATTTTCTTTGTTTTGTTTGTTTTTTTTTTTAGTTTTTTACAATTTAGTTTTGCCGAACCCTAGTGAAAGGGGTGTTGTTTAGGAAGTGGGTTGCCTAAAATGGCAGGTTAAAGAGCAAAACATGACTGAGGGGCCCCACCGCATGCATGCAAACTACTATTTCCAAAAGGCCTGTCCGCAAGCTAAGCGAAACGAGGGATAGTGGCAAGGGTCGAGGGACCAGTCTTAGGTTGTATAGTTACGCCTACTGACATATGTATGACGATGACTAAAAAGATGATAATCGAAGCAGGGAGCTCTTGCTTGTTCTGTACACCCAGGCTGCTTATTTAACGCTTCGAAAGCAAAAACGAAGTCGTTCTATGGCCTAATCTATAACCTTTTAAGCTAGGTTAACAGAGGAACACTTTCGTCCAAGCCAGTACCATTATTTCATAATCAGGAAATGTCTTTCAAGAAATAAGTGGTTACAGGAAATTCGAAAAATAGCGAGCAAACATCAAAATGCACACTGTCAAGAGAAGAAATAAAGAACGCTCTCACCAAGGCTTATTGTGGTCGTAAAAAACATGAGCAAATACACTTCCAATAAGTGCATAGGGTAACCATAGCTCCAACAGAAAAAACTTGAACGTAACGCCTCGGTCTTGGGTGATGCCTCCGGAGAAGAATCCAAAAGCTTGTAAAGCGTATCTATCTGTCTCGTTCTGCTTGCAGAATGAGAGTGCACTAGCTATCGTGCTATGCGGGCGTACCATCACCACATGGAGAAATTAAGGGAACGGAAGAACTATTGTTAACAGGACAATAGGTAATCAAGTCACGTGTGGTATTTTTTTTTAGTGGATTAACTCTGTTTAAACAAGTCTAAACAACATATATTTTCTAACCTTTTTATTAGCCCCTGCGGGGGATTTGACCTCTCAGTCACTTCTTGTTGTCTTTTGTTTGCAAAGCTTCTTTTTTGCTGGGGTTACATCCGAATTGATAACGATCACAGCATAGTTAATCACAGTAAGTCTATTTTGATTTTATTTTTGATTGAAGAGATGATTATTTTTCGTAAGAAAACTGTAACCTGAAATTTTGTTATTTTGGAATCAAAGAAATGTCAAGAAGGTCATGAATCAAAGTTGATTCTGTCGGAGAGGTCAGCGGTTTGGGAAATAGCCTAGGTTAAATAAACCAGTTTTAAAAAAGGCAAAATCAATGTGTTACAAAGATGATATAAAACTATGCTCTTCACAGCAGCAAACCCCAGCCCCTATAAGTACGAGTGCCTCACAGCTTTTGTGAAAGTGTGCACCCAAGTTTTTCTCATTGCTTTTTTAAGAGGAGAGAAGAAGAATAATATTGTGAAAGAAAATATAATGAACAAAATTTAAGTAATCAAGAAGCTGTGCTCAAGAAGCTGATTAAAATGTAGGGCAAGGATAGCCAAGTAAAGCAATTAGTGTTTCTGAATGAAAGCTGCATAAGGTGCTGTGTATAGCTGACATCCAGTTAATATGGCTGATAATGACAAGATCTTAGGTACTCCTCCAGCCCTGAACCCAATGTGTGGGTGCGCAAAAACAATAGAAAATGCCAGAGGTGCCACTCAGGTATCCCACTGGGGATGTTCCACTTGTGTGAGGCTGGCTCAGTTGTTAGAGGCGCTGACTACAGACCACAGGGTCCGTGATTTGAGTCCCTGGCATGACCAAACTTTCACCCAGAGTGAGGAGAGTTGCCAGCTCTCTGTAATTCCAGGCATAGGGATCACGAGGTGTGGTCACATGGAGAGGAAGGACAAGGACACTGCATGATAAGCATAAGCTTCTTAGTGTCCTAAAAACTACCTTCCGATGATAGGTAGAAACAAATACAAATACAAATACACAAAGTCACTGCCATTTGGGGGTGCCAGTATAATCAATTTATCCAAACTTGGATTTTGTGCATCTAGTATTTAGGTCAAGGCCCACGCCATGAATTTGAAAGTGGGGGGCCAAGGCTTCTTCCCCTTTTACTGACAGCTTTAAACTTACTTGCTTTGCAAAAAAGTGGGGCCACCTTGCCCCCTGGTGGCATGGGCCCTGTAGGTGCACCCTAAGTTACACCATGTTTGCATCTTGGATGCACCACCCCATGCTATGAATAATGAGCTGACATCATATATATGCTTGGCCTTTCTCACCGGCAGAAGGCAGTGCCTTTGGAAGAAGAGCCCTTTGCCTCAGGTGGATCATGATTAAATGATAATGATAAATGCATGATGGAAAAGGTCATTGGGATTTTTGGGCATACCAATCGAGAAATTTTAATGACCTTGGCATCTCAAGTCCTGCCACTTTCCCCTTAATAATTATTATAACCTATTAGTAAAAGATACTTGAAGAATAATCTGCAAAAAGCTGCTCTTAAAAAGAACAGGAATTTAGCACTTTTTCTGAATTTTAATCAGAGTTCAAGATCTTCTTCCCAGGAGTTACAAGGAAGTTGTCTCACTTGGAATACCCTACTGGCTAATTGCAAGCTGTGCATCCCTTTCCAGCCTTAAGCAACTCTCACAAAAATTAAAACATACTAATTAGGGGGAAAATTGCCCCTCCAGCCCCAGTGACCACATTTTTAAAACAGTAGGCTATTGTTCTCCTCTTAACAAAGGCAGAGGCTTGCCCCTTAGCTGATTCCCTTCAAAAAGGCTAGTGTCTTGATGAAATAATAAATGGTATGTTAAAAAAGTGGTTAAAAAGTTTCAAACAATGGTGTGGTTTTAAACAATGACTGTAAAGTTGTGGTGAAAAATTTTAATTTTGCTATTAATTGAAGTCATATTATCAGTTGAGTTTTATTGTCATGTTGTCTTTTCTAAGAATTTACTACTCTGGAATAGCAAGAAATAAATGCAAGATAATTATTTGCAGCATATAACACGCCTTCCAGTTTCTGGTCCCCTCTCTCTCCACAAGATCATTAGCAATTAAGGCTTCTAGACCTTAGTGGGCAATAAAACTTTCCATTTAAATTCTCTTATCCGTTTGTGTAAAGTTATTTTTCTCCTCTATTTTTCTTGCATGTTTGTTTTTCTCCATTTGTTTCAAGCAACTGTATACTGGCAAATGGTATGAAGTGGAATGTTCTCAATCCTAAAAATCCTCAAAATAATTAAAAAATATTTTAAGCAGTAGTTTAAAATGCACTAGTTAATTCACAAACAGAACAAGTTGAAAGGTATTTTCATTGCATATGTTGGATTGCCACCTAAGAAGTATGTTTAGCTTAAATTTTGTTTCAGAATATCCATAAAGTCGGATGCTTTCTACAGTAAATGTATATAGCTTACTTCAGAATGCTTAGAGTGTTTTTCTATACTGCTTTGAAGACTGAATTTCTCAATCAAGGGTGTTTTCTAATGCCAAAACTTTCACATAGGCTTTTTCTACTCCAATTAGCTGCGAAGAGTACCACAAAATTATTGGGAATATATTGCTTCCGTAACATTTGTAAATATCTTTAACTCGTCCTTTGATGGAAAAGGCTTTATGCATGTAGGACGTATTGGCAGCCCTTTCTTGTTGTGCTTCATAAAGTCGTTGAATCCATTATACAAATGAATATTGAATGTTATGTTCCATGTTTCTCAGTGGTCAAATCTTGGTTTCAAGTCGTGCTATGTTTTCACATAATTGTGCCATTTTATTCTACCATAGTTAGCAAGAACAGTGATGTTTCCTACGTCAGCTGTAAAACGCCAACCTTCGCTGATCTTTATTCGGTATGCTTCAGCATGCAAAGCTATTGTCCAGAATTCTTTTGGCCCTAGCAGTGTACTAGAAGTAGTTGATGATTACAAAGTTGAGGAACCTAAAAAGAAAGAAGTCCTTGTCGAAGTTTATGGCAGCTCAGTGAATCCTTTGGATTGTCAACAACGAGAAGGTTTTGGTAAAAGGTTTTTCGAAGTAACTACTGGACAAAAAGCGACTTTCCCTATCTGCCCTGGCTGTGAATTTTCCGGCAAAGTCCTGAAGGCTGGTCCCAATTCTTCATTCAAAGTTGGAGACAGAGTTTTCGGAGCTTCGTTAGCTGGAAGGAGCTGGGCAGAAAGAATATGCATCAATGATGGAACTGTCGCACTTGCGCCCAAAACAATCCCCCTTGAAGTTGCAGGCACGTTCCCCAAAGTTGCAATTTCTGTTTCAGGTTTTCTGAAAGCTGCAAACCTTCATTCAGACAACTGTCGGGATAAACGAGTTTTTATAAACGGTGGATCAGGGGGTATTGGCACTTTTACTATTCAGTTGCTGAAGTCGTACGGTGCTAAGGAAATAGCTGTCACTTGTGGTCCAGATAATGTCGAACTCTGCTCTGAGCTAGGTGCCCACACTGTTATTAACTATAAAAAGGAAGATTTCAGAGAAGTGCTACGTGACTTTGATGTTTACCTGGACTGCATAAATTCAAATGACGAAGACAGGCGCAGTGGGTATGGGGTTCTTCGAAAGGGAGGCCACTATTTGACTCTTGTTTTTCCATGGATTGGCAATACTGATGAATCAGGCTTGCTTTGGGGCACCCTTCGAGCTATATCTTGGCTTGCAAGGATGAAAAGAGATGCATCAAAAAACTTTGGACTTAAGTTTGAT